CCCCGCCCCGAGCTAAATCCACGCCGGAGAAGGGATATTTCCCTGCGCAGAGAGATTTCTGGGTTTTTTTTTTTTCTTTTTTTTTCTTTCTTTCTTTCTTTTATTTTTTTTCCTGCGATTCGGGGGAAAGTCTCTTTCCTCCTTCCTATGGGCACCGACTCCGGGCGACGTCGATGCGGGCGCTGAGCCCCGAGCAACTCGTGACCGCTGTGGGTCGGCCGCGCTTGGGCTCGGGCCGGGCCGCCGCTTCGGGGCTCGTTTCTGCCCTGATCCCGGCCCTGCTGCGAGTCCCGCGGGGTCGAGGGGGTTCCACGGACACCCATGTGAGAAATGAGCCGCGTGGGCAAACACGCGGGTGAGCCCCACGCCAGCAATGTGTTTCCATGGAAAAGGCGCGCAGGGCAAGGCTGTGGCGCAAAGGCGAGGCACCTGTGTGCTTGTATTTTATTATTATTATTATTATTATTTTGCAATGGGCCGCAGGGACAGGGCGCAGGCCGCGATGCCCGAGTCTTTGTGCAGCGAAGCGGCCGCAAGCGAGAACGGCCTCTGGGCCCGGGCCCGGCCGGGGGCTCAGCCCGTCGGGGAGGGAGCCGCGGGGGCTGGAGCGGCAGATCCCGCAGCGCGGGGGCGGCTGCGAGGGCTCCTTGCGCCCGTATCGCGATTTGCAACCGCGCACCTCGAATTCCCGTGTTCCGCGGAGCGCAGGGCTCCAGGTCCGCCCGGCCGCCGCCACCCGCACCCACGCGTGGCAGAGCCGGTCGCACGGGGAGGGTGCGAGTGTTCCGCGGCCAGAGTCCCGTGCGGGCTCCACACGGGCCGCAAATGCGGGAGCAGGGAGTGCCAACCCCGCGGCACGGCCGAAAATGGGGCGCATCTCCCTGCCAGGCGGTGGGCCAAGAAGGCAGCCCTGGGAAGGGCGCCGTGGGTACGCGCGTGTACTACCATATATTGGTTATATGTGTTGGATATATATACATTCAAATATATTTATATAAATAACATCATATTTTATCATAGTATATTTTATCATATCACATTATGCCATATTACTCGCTAAACTGCCACGTGCTATGCTGCTTTGAGGGTGTCTTTGCAGGGACACCCGTATCCCACCTCTTCCTCAGCTCCTCTTAGCCTCTTTTCTCCATTTTTCTTCCCTTCTCTCAAACCTTGTCACCTTCTCACCCCCCCGCATCTGAAGTGCTTTCGTTTCCTCCTTCTCTTATCTCTATTTTTATCACGGGAAAGAAGGTTAATTCCCCCTCCTTCCCCCGAAATTGCCTTCGAAATAAATAAAACCAGACTAAAACCAAATCTACCAGATTGTGCCTAAGTCTCTGGGCAAACACTGCCCCAMTGATCCACTCTTCCTTTTCCACTAACCAATTTATCCCAGCGCCGCCCAGGTATCACCTGCATCAGCAAATGAGGGCCCCGCTCGTCGCGGGGAAAGGGTGGATTTGGGGATTTTTTTATTTGATTTTATTTTAGTTTTTATCGTCTTTGAAGGGTCTCATTTGGGTGCGCCACCCCCCCACACAACAAGCCTATGGGCAGGGGGCACCCGCTGGTCCCGTAGGGATGGGAGCCGCAACGAAAAGCCCCGGGTTTGGCCCCGCCAGGCCCCGGCCTCGCCCGGCGCGGGGAGCGGCCCCTGCTCGGCCTCCCCCGGCCCCAAGGCGGCCGGGCGCGGGGGGCACGGGTGGAATTTGTCCCGAGCCCCACGGGGGCTCCGTGCGGGACGGGGCGGCCGGTCCCCGTGGGCCCGCGCTGCGGGTGCGAGGTACCCCGGGGGTACCGACCGGGCCGGGTGCGGCTCGTGCCCGCGGGCTGGCTCCGAGGTGGGTGTTCCCCGCCCGAGGGGGGCGGAGAGAGGGACAGGAAGTTTGGGAAATCCCTTTTGCTCCAACGCTTCTGCCGCGGGCAGCGCGGAGCATCCCGAGCATCTCTGGGCATCCCGAGCATCCTTAAGCATCCCTGAGCATCCTTGAGCATCCCCGAGAATCCCTGAGCATCCCGAGAATCCCTGAGCATTCCCTGAGCATTCCCGTGAATCCCTGAACATCCCTGAGCATCCCCGAGCACCTCCGAGCATCCCAGAGCATCCCCGGCCCCACCGCTGCTCTCGGACACCCTCATGACGGCACCGGGGACGAGGGGAGAGGCTCGGGCCCCGAGAGTAGACGGTGCCCAGAGCCAGCCCGGGCAGTGAGGGCTTGCAGGGCGAGTGCARGCCCCCTCTCGGCTGCAGAGACCCCCAAATCTGCCCGTGCCCCCGCGCCGCGCAGCAGAGGCGGCCCCGAGAACAAGGCGGTCCCTTACCTGAGAGCGGGAGCCCCGGGCGGGCTGCGCGCTCCGCTTCCCGTCCTCCCTCCTCCGCTCCCGCGGGGTCTCGCAGCAGAAACTTCCCGCTGGCCCGGGGGAAACTTGGCGGGCGGCCGCCCCGGTCCCGGTCCCGGTTCGGGGGCCGGTGCGAGGCAGCAGCCCCGCGCCGAGCACCCGGGGAGAGCCGCGCACCCCGGGCCATGTTTATATGTGGAAAGAAGGGTAATTTGAGTGCTTATACCAAGAACCAGGGTTGTTAAGTTTGCAGGCAGGCGGCTAAACGGTGCCAAGTGCGGGAAGGCGGGGGGGGGTTGGTGGCTGGGGGTGTGTAGAAATAAAGAGCAATTGTCAGAGGCGAACAAAAGGCGGAGGATGGAAAGGAGCTGGGAATCCCGGGGCAGAGCCCCTCGGCGTGGACTTGAACTTGGGCTTTGACACCGTCTGCGAGGCGGAGAGCGGCTCTGTCCCGGCTGGGCCGGGCTGAGCCGGGCGAAGGGGGCTCTGTGCCCCCCCGGAACGGGCTGCAGCAGAGAGAAAACAGCCCCGATCTCGGAGGGAGGCGGCATCTGCTGCATTCGCGCCCCCCTCCAGACACCCACACAGCGTGTGGGGGGGTCCAGATGGGGGTGATGCAGAACTAAGAGCSGCTGAGGCCCGACGGGCTCAGCGCAGCTCCCGACGCGACGGGCACCCCCTCGGGGCGCCGCGCCCGGGGAGGGGACGCCGGGGCCAGACGGCCCCGCTGCCAGGGGGGCCGGTTCTCACAGTCTGCACCCGAGCCTGGATTCTCTTCACGTCCCGGCCGGTCCCCCCTTTGCTGCTATTCAGCACTTAATTGAACATTAATGGCAGCTGGGGATGAGGTCATTGGAGCCGGCTTTTCTCACACATTTTTCATGCAAATCCGCTAAACTCTAAACAAATTTGAATAAAACCCCCTTTGTGCGGGTCCTGCATGGTGTTTTTCCACGGGCCGCTCCGCCTGTCTCCGCACACTTCATCCAGGGGGGCCGGCGGCAGAGCCGGGCTGGGGGGAGCCGCSGAGCTGGGAAGGAGCGGGGAGAAGCGAGGATGAGGGGGGACTCCCTGCCCGGTTCCTGCAGGGAGGAAGCGCTGGGATGAGACACATTTAATGCCCTGCCAGGTCGAGCGGCGCCCGMATCTTTCCTGAGGTTCTGGAGCCAGGATCTCCCACAGGACGCCCCAGGGAGCAGGCAATGGAACCCTTTAGGGACACCAATCTACCCATCAGGCCCAATCCTCCTCAGCAACACGCACGTCCCTCACAAACACGCTAACACCCATCCCTCCCAAACACCACCAGCCCCCTCCAGCAGCTCCAGCCCCACCAGTCCATCCTGACACCACCCCAGCAAGAGCAGGGCCCCTTTGGCAGCTCTGTCAGGGGGCTCCAAGCGCCGGCATCGCACAGAGCCCCTGGACACGCAGAGCCCCCGGCCCCCCTTGTCCCGCAGCCCCATTAGCATCCGCATGCCGGCCGGCCCCCCGGCCAGCCTTGAACTTGGCCGTGGCGGCCCGCGCTCCTTCTGCCTGCCTGGGCACGCACAATGCGGCCGCGGGCCTTTGTTTGCTTTTTCGGGTTTCAGCTGGGAAAGCGGTCACCTCTCGGCGCCTGCCCGCGGCCGGGCACGACGGGGATCCCCGCTCGGCAGGCAGAAGGGCTCCAAATCATTTTAGAGACAAGTTCATTATAGTCTCTCACGGCGCCTGGTTGCGCGGGGTTTAACAGCTACTTCCCAGGCAGGGTTGGGACCAAATAATGGTCAGCAAGGGGTTTGCTCAGAGCAAGGTGCCCGCCTGCTGCCACGCGGGGCCTGGCGCTGCCCGGCCGCTCGCTCCTGCCTGCTCCCGCTTCCCCAGTGATCTGTCTGCAGGTGCCTGCGTTTATTCCGCAAGCAGGGCCGAGACCGCACCGAATCACACCACTCACTTTTGCAAAACAGCATTTATTTTCAATAGTGCACTGGGTAGCGCTTGGTTTTAATGGAAGGGGGTTACAGCCAGTACATTTCTCGCACGGGACTAGGGACACGGGCAATAAAAGGGCAGCGGGGCCGGAGGGATGCACAGTCCTGCGGGATTTCACCCTCAGCCCCAGCGGGACGGCCACACTGTGATCAGAGCCCAACCTTTGTGCTCACTGGTGCTATTAACAACACTCGGCCGACTTGGATTTCCCTCCCGCTCCCTCTATCCTCCTTGCATTTTGCCTCTCGAGGCAGTGGCCTGCTTAGATCTCCCTGCCTGAGCAGGACAAGCTCGTCTGGAGGTGTTTAGGGCACCAAAGACAGGTACAACATTCAGGACTTATGCGGGATTTTCAGTGGGCTCCCTGGGTTTCCCTGGCTCCCTCCCCAGGGTTGGGCTGCTGGGATTTGAAGCCATGGAGAAAATCTCTCTGTTCCTGAGCAAAAGCCACCTCTTCTCTGGGGCCATTGTGGGGCAGGAAGGGCCCTCCTGGAGAAGCTGGGGATGTCAGGCAGCAAGTCCAGGCTTGTGGTGGCCAGCAGCGACGAGGAGCCCACGGGCTGGAAAGGTCCTGTCTCCTCTCACTGAGATCTGCGAAGGAAACAGAGAGCACAGCGGGTATGATCTCCAGCAGGGAAACGGGCACRTGGAGACCCCAGCAGCCCCTCGCGCTCGGCCACGTACAGAACAACTCACGTCACACATGGACYCCCCTTTCCCTTCAGCCCACCTCTCCTCCCTGCTCAGGCCTCCAGCCAGCCCAGCAGAACCAGAACCTCCTTCACAAGGGACAGACCTGGTGCCCCCGAAGCCCCGAGCGTCCCCATCCCCAGCCGAGCCTCCCCATGAGCCCCCTGCCCAGCAAATCCCCCCTGTCGCTGCCCCGCGCGGCCAAGGGCTCCCGGCCTCGCCTCCTCCGCAGGCTTTGGGGCATGGGATTACTCTGCATGTCAGAGCCACTAAAGGAGCAGCCCTCTGATGTTTTAATCTTCGTGTTAACTTTCCCTGCCCTCATCGCCCTTGTCTGTCTGTAGAAAGTGATACCGAGCCACAGAGCCGGATCCAAAGCTGTTACACTCCTTGAAACTGCTGTCTAGTCCGTTCAGCTCTCTGCACTACCTTGCCTTTGCCCAGCACATCTTACACTTCGTAACAGGCTCTCTCCTATTTTATTTTATTTTATTTTATTTTATTTTATTTTATTTTATTTTATTTTATTTTATTTTATTTTATTTTATTTTATTTTATTTTATTTTATTTTATTTTATTTTATTTTATTTTATTTTATTTTATTTTATTTTATTTTAYYTTATTTTACCTTATTTTACCTTATTTTACCTTATTTTACCTTATTTTTATTTTACTTTATTTTGTTTCATTTTTTACTTCCATTTCCTCTGCACCTTCCCCATGGCAAGCACAAGATCCCCTGGCACGGCCTCCAAAGCCAGTTCCGTCCCTCTGCCATCCTCTCTTTGCTTTGCTTATACACTGCTTTCCTGGGAGGCATAAGGACTCGTACAACTAATTCCTGCGTACACTGGGAACCTGTGTGCAAAAGGAACCATCAGTCAGCTAATTTATTCTTTCTTATTGCACCAAATCGCGATTTTTTAAAATGCTGCAAAATTTATAAAATATTTGCGAGCCCGCTTTAGGAGATAAATCTTCCRTGTGGCTCCGTAATGAGCCGCCCTGGGAGCAGCTGCGTGTGCTCCGCCGCGGGCCGCGCTGCCGCGATCCTGGGCTGCGACTGCAGGAACCGCCGTCGCTCTTTGAACTCCGCAAACGCTCCGCGCTCTGGGGTCCACGCTGCAGTTTTCACAGGCATTTTCTCTCCATCTCAAAATGGATCTTTCCGTAAATGCCTTACGATGAAACTCACAAAGCACTTGCTCCATGGAAGATCACAGAGATCCATGGAAAACTCCTTCCACRAACTTTGAAGGCAGCCCAAAACGTACAGGGGCAGCAGGGAACCCAGCCCAGCTCTGCACCAGGAGGGTGGCAGTGGGACAGGCCCACCGAGCTGGGAGTCACAACAGGCTGCAAGAAACAGGGATGTCAGCGGCAGCACTGTGTTATCCAACGTGACACTCGGAGCCAGCCCGAATCCCACTCTGGTAAGAAACTGGAGGCCGGGCGGGTGGGACCAACCCAACCRATTTGAAGCTGCCTCTTGTGGTAAGCTTGAGAAAAGCCCACACCTACTGCAAATGCCAAGGCCATATAGCCAAAATGCTATAACTAACATATAGCCAGAGCTGAGTGCTCTGTGCCCTGGGGGAGCTCGGTGAGGGAAGCCCAAGGAGCCTCCATCCATCACACATGGTGCCAGGCGTACACGGCCCCACCAGGAATCTGGTCCCAAACCAGTGTGGCCTCCCTCCCTTCTCTCCCCAGCACCCCGGATATTGAAAGTASCCTAGAATCCCCCTTTAAAAATAAATAAATGAGAATAATTGCATTACAGCTTGCTCCATGCCCAAGTGCAGCCCATGCCCGGCCATGCGCTGGTGTCTCTGTGGGTGCTGTGCGAGGCCGGCCGGCCGCACCACAGGGTTTAACCTGCTCGCAGCTGCCCCCGGCTGCCCCGGCCCCGCACAAGGGCACGAACCAAAYGCTGTCCCACGCGGCACCGGCCTCTGCCCAACAGGGCCCTTCCCCTTGCCAACCCGCTACTCATGCGGCGCGAAGGAGGGGCCCGCTCCTGCCCGCGCCCCTCCGGCCTCCGCTCCACAGAGCCGCATGCAGAAACTTTCCGGGCAATTTAATCCCGCCGGGGTGTTACTTAGAAAAACCTTTTCCATTGYCATTTTTTGCTCTTTTTTCCTGTCCCCCTTTTCCTTCCTTTCAGCCCCGCTTCTAGCCCTGATTGTATTTTGCAGGCCCCGATATCTTGCTCTCTGTACAGACGCACGCTGTTTATGCAAATACCAGCCTTTCACACCGCCTCCCTGGCTCAAGACCCCCAACTCCAATGTGACCAAAAGCTGCGCTCGCCCCTGCTCACTCCTTAGCACAATTACACCTCCACCCTGCTCCGGGGGCCCGGGGAGGGGAAAAAAAATCATTTTAAACTAATAACACGTGCTGTTTGCTCTGGATAATTACACAGGAGCTTCGGCTTCCAAGAGCTCGGCAATCCTGTGCTCGGCGGGGTGGGAGGGAGGCTCCACGTTCCGCCCACGCCGCACGTTTTGTCCCCGGCACGAGCTGCCTGCGTGTGTGGGGCCTCTGGAGGCCTCCTCCTCCGCTCACCGTGTCCCGGGAGAGAGCACCTGGGCCAGCGCTCGCCTCTCCTGAGGAGGGACTCGCCCGCACGCCGGGCTCCGCGAGCGGAAAACGCGGCTGGCRTTTCCTTATCTCGAGTTGCAATTTCCTGCGAGCATCCCGAGAATAAAGCAGCAGCGAGCCACAAGGCGAGGGGAAGGGATGCAGCATCCGCCGCCCGGAGCGGGGCGCACGGCCAGGCAGGGAGACCCCGGGAGCAGTGCGAGGAGACGGCAGGGAAGGAAGGACACCCAAGGGAGCCGGCCCGTGTGAATGCTCCCATCGGAATCGCGGCCGCGCCGTCATTGTTGTCCTCCCGCCTTGTCTCCCGGGGAAGTTTATGTGCAGGGCTTTTGCTGGGGCGAGGAGGAGGAGGGGAGCTTTCCCCAAAAGCACCCAGGAATCTGTCAAAAGAGGGACAGAAAAGAGAAGAAGAAGGGAGACAGAGAGTGGGAACGTCAAGGACCCCTGACTAATGAATAGCAAGTTTGCCCTTGAACCTCCCTGGGCTTTGCCATTCCCAGGCTCCGAACAAGGGCTGATGCATGCTTGGGCCCAGCTGCAGGGAGACCGGGCTATGGTTCATCTCAGACACTTTGACAGCCTGGGCCTTTTCCCTGCATAGCTCAGACTTGCCTAACTACTCCCCTGGCAACAGCTCAGTGCAGGAACCTGCACTGAGGCCCTGCCTGCTGCATACAGAAGTGCCGAGGAGGAGGGGAGCAGCTCCGAGAAATTAGCTGGAGCCCGGCTTAACCCATCAAGTGCTGGGCGGGCGTCGCGTGCCCTCGGGCTGGGTCCCCGCTGGGTGTCCCCGCCGGTGTGGGGCTGCCCAAGTGTCCCCAGCAGCAGTGCTGGGTGCTCTCCTAGCTGGACTGAGGCAGTGGTGTGGGAGATGGGCCGAGACCCAACGTGCAAGTCGATTGCCGCCCAGAGGAGACACCCCATGAYCTCCGGCTTCTCCAGCACCTCGGAGCGAGCGGGCACTGAAGCTCCTGAGTGCCGTGGATGGCGTGGGGAGCTGGCTGAGGTGGAACTGCCTTGTGAGGCTGAAAGAGGCCACCAGCCGCCGTAGCACTGGTGGACAGGGCAGGGCCTCTCTCCTGTATGTCACGGATGGGGCATCCCTCCTGTATGGCTTGGATGGGGCATCCCTCCAGCGGCAGGAGAGAGGGGGCCGGGCTGGGTAACAGCTACCAATGTGCCGCGGCTGGGCGCTCGGTGTGTTGCAGATCAGAGACATGGGACAAGCGGGATCTGCGCCGAATGGCTGGAACAAACACGCACTGCACCCGGCAGCAAGAGCCCAAGCGCTCCAGAGCGCGACCCAGAAACGTTCCCACATCCCGGCCCCTTATAAATCAACAGGGAGAGGGGGAGGGCTCCTCCTCGGCCTCTGTTTTTAGCGAGCATCTTTCATGCGCAGCCCCTGAGAGCGAGGGCTTTGCCGAGCTTGTTAAGGAAGGCTCCAGCGCCAGGCAGAGAGGGGGATGCACCATATGGAGAGGAAAAAGAGAAAAGGGGACACTGAAAATGGAAAATTATGCAAATCAGGAGGAGAAACGCTCCAGAGAAAGGGGGAGGGTGGCAGCAAGGCGCTGGGGGATGGGAAGAGGGAAGGAGGGCAAAGGGAGCCCTGCTTGGAGCAGGCACCAGCCCGGCGGCACCAAGGGAGGAGGAAGGACAGGAGTCCTGCACGTTTGGTGTCCAGYGGGGATAGAGCCCGTGGCCAGCGCCTCATCACCCATCCAGGCGCCTGATGTCCATGTCCTGGAGGAGCTTCCCTGTGGCCCGGGCCTGGCGGAGGCGCTGGGCGGGAGCAGGAGCTTGGCTCCAGGCCGGCCAGGCCGCGCCGGCGACGCGACGCCCTGCGCGGCCGCCCCAGCCCCGCCACCCGCACCCGGCTCCACGGAGCGGCCTTGGCCACGGGCGCCCGTCCAGCCCGGCCTGCCGCTGCGGTGAGGGCGGCTGCGCCCGCACGCGCCACTCGCGGGAGCCCTGGGCCTGGCACACCCGGCCCAGCCCGTGGTGACCTCCTTGGCAGGGGTGTCTCCAGGACCTCCGTTGCTATGGTGAGGAGCTTGAGAGCAAACTTCTGTTTTTTTTCTATTTTTGGTCGAGGGTTTTGCTTTTAATCAATCACAAAAACTGGACTCCCGTATACAGAGGTGCCGGAGGGCTTGTAATGAATGGCCATAGCAAACAGTGAGGCCCTGGTTGTGCCCCTGGGTGTCCCAGCGTGTCTCCGACGTGCATGTGCAGTGTGGTGACCAAAACCAAGTCACTGCTCCCAGAGCTTTCACCTTCCAGGCGTGCTGGGTCCTGGGGCTGCAGAAGAGCGAGTGCTGACGGAGYGCCGGAGGCAGCGAGATGGCTGCAGCTCCAACCTCGCACGGGGACGCTGTGCAAGCACAGGCTGCGGAAATGAACGCTCCTGGCCCTTCAGAGTGTGGGTGCCGGTGCTCCAGCTCCAGCGTGGACGCTGCTTGCTGCCWAGCGTGTGCTTTGGAGGAGGTACCTGCCTCTTCCCACCGCTGGCACCTTGCGCTGASGGCAGAGAGAAGCGCTGCTCCCTCCCCGGGCCTGTTCCGCCTCACGCACGGGTACGTGGCCCCTTCAGACAGCGATCTGCACCTCTCCACCCATGCACAAGTCTACCTTTCCATGGATGTACATCTGTCRGGCTTCCCAAAGGCTGACGAGTCCCTTCTTTGTCGCATCCTGCAGATGCTCCGGTGCACGGCCCTCCAGAGGGACAGCTCTCCCACTCYCTCACGGCACAGGCATGATTTCTTCACAGCTCCATTTTTTTGTTTTTGTTTTTTGTTTTTTCTCCTGGAAACCTTTTTTGTGTCCTGTCTTCTGGGCTCAGCTCGCATTTAGGAGCTAGCTCACTGTCACAACTGTGACTGCTCTTTATGYGCCAGGGCCACCTTGCAGATCTGCTTTATGTGTCAGCTTCCTTCTCCTCCTCATCTTTCACCCCCCTCACACATCACCATCCGCTCAGCGCTTTAAAATCCCAGAGGTTGGGTCTATTGCTCTGCATCCCCTGCATGGTTCCCCCATCCTATTCCCAGCTCACTCCACTGCATCTCTCAATGGCTTTGGATCAGTCGAGTCAGAGCTTTTCATTCATTCTACTTGGCATCACCTAAAACCCAGCAGCAGAAACTGCTCCTGGCTGCCACCTCACTTGGCTGCTCCCTCCCTCTCGGCCCTGACACAGCCTTTGATCACACTCCAGTCTCAGATATGCCACTTGCTTTTCCAGCTCCTTCGCCTGTGCGTCACGTCGGGAAATCTTTTGCCACATCCCGCACGGATCGCCCCATTAATCCCTTCTACCATTCGCCATCRGCCCAGAATGGTGATAAGAGGCTTTCCATAAGGGGTTGATCCCTTCTCAGGGCTCCGCGCGTTTGGGCAGAGCAGAGTTGCTGGCCACGTTCTGCGCCCTTGCTGCACTGGGGCTTGTCCCCCAGCACCGACGGCTGTCCCCGAGTCCCCTGCGCGCGGGTGGCAACGAACCTGGGGYACAGATGTGGCACCTCTAGCCCAAAGAGCCACAGGCCCTTTGTGGAGGTTGGTGAGAACAGAAACTTGCCTAGCGGGGGCAAACGGGCTCCAGGAATGAAGGGCCGAGGGCGGCTCACCCTGATGGAGCTGTGGTCCCCGGGTGCTGGCGCCGGCTGGGCTGGGAGTTCACGCGTCTCCTTCCTGCTCCTCTGCTCTGACGCTCGCTGACTCTTCGGCTCTGAACAGTCTTAGCCTGTGCATGTCCTAAAACTGGCAGAAATGTATAGAAAATAAATCAAGCCTTTCCCTTGCAATCCAAACACTGTCTTAGAGACCAAATCATTTTAAAAGGCTCTTAAGGGGAATGTCCTCCTCTCACCCCTTACCCCAAAGCTCCCGCTCCTGGCAGGCAGCACGCACATTCGCACAGTGCAGGGCATGGACACGGGCTGCTGCAGACACACGTGGGACAGGCCCTGCACAGATGGGCACGCTCACCCCAGAGCACACGTGTTCATGCCTGCACACGCCAACACCTACATGTTCCTGCCCACGTCCTCCCTGCTGCATCCAAAGCTGCACAGATTCCCGGGAGAGCTTTTGTTCTCCCCCGGGACATGTGTTATCTGTGCAGCAGGGCTGCAGTGGGAGGCCTGGGCTGCTCATTCCTGCAGTCGCGAGAAGGAGAACATCCTGCGTTCAGGTTCTTCTGGTTTCTTCGAGTGCCACGCTGAGGTGTAAGGCCATGTATGTCAGCCAGAGCCTCAGTAAAGGCATGGAATAAGCTGTAGGCACTGAAGATGATTCATATAGGCAGCACACAAAGAAAAATGGCAAGAAAGAAAGTTCACGGGGGCACCAGGAAAACAGAGCTTCCATCCACAGAACAGCTGTGTGTGGCTTCAGGGACAGGCAGGCAATGTGGGAGATATTTAAGAGCTTGCTCTCAAGATGATGCATTTGCAACTGCTTCATTTTTGCTACTGGCAGAGACAAACTGAACTGCCTGCCCTGCAGACGCACGGTTGAATCCTCCTACCTTCAGGCACCAGGTTTGCACCCTGCCTCACTTATCAGCTCCGTTGATTTAAGACTGTATAACCACCGCAGTAGAATTAGGCAAATGTGAGATGTGCCTTCATAGCAGAACAAGGGGGATATATTATATTTCTCGCTAACATGATATAAGCAAGCAGCCAGCCCTCCATAAACTAATCTTGGTGAAAAGGCGGCTTATTTTCTTCGCTGCAAATTCCCACAGCTAAACCGTGGGTATGTGCGTGCAGGGGAGGGCACATGGGAATTGTTCAGGGTGTCCTTCGGACCAGGCTGGCCTCAGCTTCTGTGCTGGAACCTGAACCACTTCCAAAAAGAAAATAGAAGGAACAGCTAGTTCTGCCCAAGTGGCAGTCTAAAGAGTTGGCATTTAGTCTTGATTCAACCTCGACCCAGATTCCAGCCCCTGGCTTGGATCCATTTTCTTTCTCCTTGACCCATCTCCATCAAAAGAAACTCTGTTACGAGCCTGTGCTCCGAGTTTCTATTCTACAAATAGAAGCAAAGAAGAGCCTGTTCCATAGCTGAGCATTTTCATAAACCCTATCTTGATGTCTGTCCCGGTGAAAGAAACCTTCAGGGAYGGGGCCCCACGTCTGAGATGTTAAGTATTTCAGCCTCCAGCAATACAAGACACCAACACCATATTAAACTATGCAATTGCTAAGTGTTCTTGTGTGCCTTCCCTGATTGCACAGTTGCCCCACGAAGGCCCATCTCTCCTGCAAGCCGTCTCCTGGACAGGGATGAATGGATAGGGTTTCCTTTGACACGGAGCCCGGCCGCCTGGAGCGCTGGTGCATGACATGTTTATCTGCCGGCAGGGCTGGACGCGCCGCTTCGCCTGCGTGCGCCCGGAGAGCCGCCTTGCAAAGGGAAGCAGAGCCGCGAGTGCCGCTAAAAGCATTTCATTTCCAAACAGGGCCCTGGAGACCACTTGTGYGAGGGTCTCGACAGGCTGTCCCCGGGGGTTCGGAGCGGAGAACAGCGCCGGGAACAAGAGTAGATGACCCCAGGGTAAAATCGCCACAGCCAGGGCTACGGCGCCGGCCCCGGGCAGGGCTGCTCTGAGCATCACACATCCCTCCTGGCCGTGCTCAGGCCCAGCAGCAGCGCTGGGGCGGCTGCAGGGACCACCACGCAGCTGCTTCCCTCAGCACAGGCAGCCAGGATCTCTCCGCACATCTACCCTGTATCGCACACAAAAAGGGGTTCTGGAAACACGCTCCTTGCACCTGGCAGAAAGCCGTTCTCCATGGAGAAGTCTCCCTGCATGATCTGCCGTGGCGCTGGCCTTAGTGCTAGGGAGCTTTTCCTATGGCCTCTTTGGAGGAGAAGTGGCCCTGCGCTGTCTCGGACATGGGCCAGGAGTGCAAACACCAGGCGACCAAGAGCTGCAGGGTGGAAACTCCCCCGGCTCGGGCAGGACCCGAGCGAATGGCTCCGTGAGGGACAGTCCAGGTCGCTGTGTCACCCTCCTGCCACAGAGCCTCGTTCCCCAACGCCCACCTTGACCTCACCAAGCCCCAGCTCTGCGTCGGGCCTGACTGGGGGGCAGTTGCTGCAGCCACCTCTTGTCAAGGCACCACCAGGGCAGGAGTGACCTGGCTACCAAATTCCGCCCGGGTTGAGTGCAATGAGGTCAATGAGAGCTCAGTCAACACCAGCGTTTGGGCTGGGCTGTCCCCCGGCATTGGAGCATCTCTCTGTGATTTCACCGTTGACTGGGAAATGGTGAATCAGGATTTTTCCTCGCCTCCCTCTTCCCCTCCAAATCCCTCCCCCCAACTCTTTTTCCGCATCATAAGCAAAGTCCTAATAAAGCTCCCATCCCCACCGCCAGCCCTGCACCATGCTCCCAGCAGAAAAGAGATGCAAAGCCACGCTTGGAATCTGATTCCCCGGCTTTAAACGCTGCTCTGCCAGCAAAGTGCGACTTGAAAGCTCCCCTGTCACAGTTACAAAGCTCCGAACAGCCCTTCCTCGGATAATCACGCTTATCTCCAGATTAAGAGAGAGAGACCTGCAGCTGAGGCTGGTCACATGGGCTGGGATGTGGGCAAATCTCTTTTAAACAATCCCCATATAGCTGTGACCTCCACCACTGCCCAAATAGACTGTTCCCACTTGAAAGCCAGCGCTGGAGACAGGACAGAGCGTGTGAGAGAGGAACGTGCTGGAGAGAGCAGGGGGTAAGAGTGAAACTGGGGGGGAGGAGTGAGAAAAGGATGCACAAGAGGAGGTAAATAAAGACAGAAGACGAAATAAGTAAGGGCAGGATGTGGGAGAGTGASAGAAAGTCGTAGGACGCGGTGGAGAGGGAGGAAGAGTGCGAGGATGGGGGGCTGYGTGATGAAGGACAGTGAGGGCTGCGCTGCTCTTCACGCTGGGGATTAGTGGTCCCTGYGCCGCTGCCCGCTTCCCTCGGGCCGCCGTGTCCCTTGCTGGCCGGCCAGCCCGCTGACGTGACTCCAGCTGTGCCAAGCAGCCTTGGCAGCGCCRGCGCGGCACCTACTTTGCTGTCGCGGATTCATTAAGAGGCTTTGCTTGCAGGGAATAGTTATCCCGAAAGAGAAAAGGAAAACGGCGTGCAGACCAAGCTGGCAAGGAGCTCTGATTACCGGTTCCCATGGCCCCGCGTGGGGCTGGGGAGCAGAGCTAAAGAGACCCAGGGATGCTGAGAAAGGAAAGCAGGACAGCGGGGAGGAGATGGGCTGGAAGGGGCTCTGCAGAAGGGCACGGCCAAGGGAGAGAACTGCCAGTCCTCTGCTGGATGCTCTTTGCAAGTCCTTCCTAGTGGTCACATAGCGTTTGGGTCAAGCATGGACAACACATTCACTCTGGTTGATAAATGAAAGGTATGAGCAAGCACAGAGTAACTTTTTCCAACAGCACAACCCCCTCTTGTTTGTAACTCRTGTCCATGTGGGGTTAGCACCATTATGTTGCCTTCCAGAGGTCACRCTTCCCATGGGCTCCTCAAAGCAGGGGAGGCTTTCAAAGAAACCAAAACAAGGAGAGTTCCTCGAGGCTCCTCAAGGGAGACCTATGGTTCTGAAATGGGCTACAGAGGCGGAGAACTGGGGCTTGTTCTCAAGCCAAGGATTTGCTGGCCCTGGCTCACGGTTTCCAGGCGCGGGGCTTGACCACCCGCTGCAGCTTCCTGGGAGGAACTCAGAGCTGCCTCCGACTGCTCATTATTCACCCCGTGCAATTAGGCGCTGCTGATAAGTYACACGAAATTGCCTTTGTTCTCCAAGTGGGTGACCTGCATTTCCGTAGAGTTCTTTCTCCCTGTACCTTATTTCCATGCTTTCTGAGTTGCCCACCCTGCCAACTGTGTGAGGGGCAGAGGAGGCTTAAGGGGAGCTCTTTGGGCTGCTACGAGCGCTGTCCTGCAGACGCTCTGTGCAGGTGGATGGGGAACTCCAGCCAGTCCGTAGGAGCTCGCACGTGCTCCTGGCCTTGCCTGGAAACAAAGGGGAGCTTCCCTCCTGCAGCTTGCGCAGCTGGGAATGGGTCGGCTCTCCATGCAGGCGGCCTTGCTGTTCCCTGGCTATTCTAGCACTGCTTCCTGCTAGCCACGAGCTCCAGCCTCACCTCCCACCTCTTAGTCAGGAAAGAAAGCTCCACTGCAGACCCACAGCTGGAGGAAGAGATGTCAGCGCCAGCTAAGCCCCAAGCCCACTGCTGTCAAYGGCCACATCACGCCTTGTTCACCAGGATCTCCCCTTTCCTCCTCAGCCAGGGCATCAAAAGGAGTCAATCCCATTCCCCAACATCCTAATGGAACCGTCTTCCMCCCAGCTCCCCTATGGGAGCTGCAAGGTCTACAGTGCTGCTCCCGCTCCCCACATGTTCCTTGGATCCCGCAAGCAGGCGGGAACCAGCGTGAAGCTGGGGGCCACCAAACCACACACAATCCAGTCACCTGCAGCAAAACTTGCCCAAAAACCCTTCGTTCCACACCAGCCACGTGGCAGTGGTTGCTTGGCCACGTAAACTCCCCACTCCTTCATTACACGTTGGCTGCTCAGATGCAGATGGCAGTAGGGGAGAGCAGACATTCTGGCCATGCCCGGGAGCTTCCTTTCCACCTGCTCAAGAAACGTACGTGGGATCTCGAGCCTTGTTGCTTTAAGTGAAAGGATGCAAAATTAATTTGGACGTGAAATTAATTGGAAGCGGACGGCTGTTTACATYCCTCCATACCA